AAACTAGATGCTGACACTTTACTCATATCTAATTTTATTCCATAAGGGCTTTGAGGGGCTCACAGGAGTACAGAAGGCAAGAGTAAATCATCAAGGGAAAATGTGGATGGGAAAGTAATTTATATAGCCCAAGGCAAATTTGGATGCAGAAACATATGATTTTGTATAATTGTTAGAAGCCACTAGTAAAGTTTTGCAAAAAGTAGATGATTTTCATATTCTTCAGTCACCCATAAATGAGAAGTTCATTGTCTAAAATAATTCTGTAACTTACCAGTGCTCTAACTTTTAATCTTTAGAATAAATGTATGAAATTGAAAATACTAGTGATAGAAATATAAAAATGTGTTTGATTAACTGTTAGTTAATGGAAGAAATAGTACTTTTTCCAATTTGAAAATCTGATTTTCTTTCTTTGTAGGTTATATGGCGGGATGAATTATCGCAGACTAGGCGGTGGTGTAGGAGTTATTAAAATGACACATTGTGAGTCCCATATATGGTGAACATCTAGAAGACCCTCATATATACGCTCCTCTGTATTCTGGAGAGAGTGACTTTGGAGCTTTGTACAACTCAAAACATGACAACAAATTTTATTCTTTGCCGGTGCCTCAACATATGGAAATACAAATCCAATGAAAGTACTTCACTTGCAAGATGCCACCTTTGCACAATAATTTTCATCCATTTGAAGAATTATTTATTTTTGGTATTAATTTATCTTTTACTTTTTTTTGTACTTACCTTTCTCCTACCAAAAAGGAAAGAAAAAATTCTGAACAACAAAACTTTGTTTTTAAGGTATTGGTTACATATGATAGTACTGATAAACAGGAGAAAGGGGTGTATATGATCTGGGTGGTTATTTCTAGCTACCCCACCCATATGACTCCACTACTTAAAAGGATTTTTTAAGCAACAGAGACAGACACACAAAATGTATTAGATAGTCATCATTCTTGCACTTAAAGTACCAAAAGATTTGGAAATCTTTAAAAAAGGAAACATCTCATTTTGAATAGTAATTTAAAAGAAATACAAAATCAGGACTCAGTGCAGCTGTTTTCATCAGTGGAGGTTTGAGGTTTGTTTCCTACTGTCATGTGAACCTAATTGTTTGCTATTATATTTAAAGTCTTTTTTTCATAATATTCTTATGGAGTTTCTGCTAGATCTATAGCTCTGCTCAGTGCCTCTAAACAAAAATACAAACAGTATATGAGTCTCGTGCTGTCCTGAGAATCACGCAGAAGAATCAAGTCAAGTGTAACTCTCCAACTGAAGCAACTTTCCGTCCTGTCTTTATTGCTATCAAGGACCAGCAGGGAGAAATATCCTCTCCCCCTAATGCTCAGGCCTGGTGAAGCTGAGGCTTAACCTTTAAGAACAGCCTCCAAGGGAGTGAATTCTTCAATTCATGTAATAGTACATGTTAATGAGTATAAAACCAACTGAGGCATTTTCAAAGCATCTTGGTTCTTTTATACAAACTATGTATCATTATCTTCATTCTACAAGGCGGCCACTGCTAGCTACTACTTCTCTCAAATTGCACTTTCTGATGAAAAGTTTAACACTTTATGGAAGAAAGAAAATTAATGGTTAGTTTTTTTTGTTTTTCATTGTGTTCACAGATCATTTTTTCCCTCCACTGTATTTTGCAGGAAAATGTTTGAACAAGACTTTAGTCAAAATCCAAAGGAATAACCTTCACCTAGCCCCCAAAATGTTTGGCAACTTTTGTGTTTACATTTAAAGATCATTTGCACCTTTACAAGGGGAAAAAAAAGAAAAAAAAAGTATTTGGTAAACAAATGTTTACATGTATCATTTATGCTTTTTTCTAGCATGTATAACTTTTTAAAATAAAGGTAGTATTTACCATAAAAAGTCTTCTGGCTAATTCTCTTTATAGCACACTAAAGATGTAGCCCAAGGAGTCCTGGTGTACGCTGTGGGCTAACGCACCGGACTGCAAAGCCATTTGAACTGCAAAACCGGCAGTTCAAGCTCATCAGCTACTGCTCAGAAACCCTATACAGGGTTGCTATGGGTCAGAATCGACTCGATGGCACTTAACAACAAGAAAAGGATTTAGCCCGCTAGGTCAGCAGTTCAAACTCACCAGCCACTCCATGGAAACCCCTATATAGAGTTGCTATGAGTTGGAACCAACTCAGAGGCACTTAACAAGAAGGATGTCTAGAGTCCTCGTGTGGTGCTGTGGGTTAATGCGTTGGGCTGCAAGGTAAGTTTTAACTGCAAGGTCAGTGGTTCAAGCTCAGCAGCTGCTCTTTGGAAACCCTATACAGGGTAACTATGAATCAGAACTTACTCGACAGCACTTATAACAAGGATGTATAGTCAAAATACTATGATTTAAAGATACTAAAAATAATTATTGTGTGATCGTGCCATGAACCTAACATAGCTATGCTGATTTAATACTAGATTGATTGTTTTGAATTTTCAGACTGCACCGTTTTCCTTTTATATCTAACTTTATTTCATAATTATATAAAACACTTTATTTCATAATTATATAAAACACTTAGACAGGTCCTAATTTAAATATTTAAATCAGTCTAGATTCTACCAATGTACCCTGTATTCCATTCCTTCCTTCTCCCTATAAGGAACCACTTTTATACTCCTGCTTCCCCATTTCCTTACAAAAGAGCTATCTTCTTAAATACTCTGTCCACACCTGCTCTTTGCACTTTACAATGTATCCTGGATGGAGAGGTAGTACAATCTTTTGGCAAAGGATCATGGTAATTGTGGCACAACATGAAAAATGTCATCAATTGTCATTGAATTGTAAACATGGAAGTTGTGCTGGCTGTTTTAGTTTGTGTAGTTTCACAAGAAAAATAAAATCAATGTATCTTGGAGTTCACTTCATCACAGTACAAATATATAGTCGTTTCCTTAATCATTTTTACAATTTCATAGTAATTCCGTGTGCCATCAATAATTTATTCAACCAAGTGTCCCCTCTGATGGGCACTTGGGTTTTTAGTCTTACTATTACAAATACTTTTGTAATATTATACATGCTTCATTTTGTATTTTTGCCAGTGACTCTGGGATAGAAATCCTAAAAGTAGGTTTGGTAGTCAAAGGGTTTAGTTATGTGCCATCAAGTCAGTTCTGACTGTATAGAGTTTCTAAGGAGAAGCTGGTGAGCTTGAACCACTGACCTTATGATTCAAGCCAAAGGGTAAAACATTTACAGATGAAGATTAAAGAGCATAGCCTTTGGTATGGATTAATTCTCAATATAAAGAAAACAAAAATCCTCACCACTGGACCAATAAAAAACATTCTTAACAACGGAGAAAAGATTGACGTTGTCAAGGACTTCATTCTTCTCAGATCAACTGTCAACACTCATGGAAGCAGCCATCAAGAAATCAGACATACTGCATTAGGCAAATCTGCTGCACAAGACCTTTTTAAAGTGTTGAAGAGCAAAGATGTCAGCTTGAGGACTAAGGTGCGCCTGACCCAAGCCATGGTATTTTCAATAACCTCATATGGATGCGAAAGCTGGACAGTGAATAAGGAAGACCGTAGAAGAATTGATGCCTTTGAGTTATGACGTTGGAGGAGATTATTGAAAGTGCCATGGGCTGCCAAATGAACCAATAAGTCCGTTTTGGAAGAAGTGCAGCCAGAAAGCTCCTTGGAGGCCAAGATGGCCAAACTTCGTGTCTCATACTTGGGACATATTGTCAGGAGGGAGCAGCCGCTGGAGAAAGATCTCATGTTTGGTAAGGTGGAGGGTCAGAGAAAAAGAGGAAGACCCCAGTGAGATGGATTGGCCAAGTGGCAGCATCGATGGACTCAAGCGTGGCAACAATAGTGAGATTGGCCCAGGATTGGTCAGTGTTTCGTGCTGCTGTGCATGGGGTCGCTGTGGGTCGGTGCCGACTCAATGGCACCTAACAACAACAAGTTAAACACTAGGGACAAAAAGGTTAAAACTATTCTGCCTTTGAAGGGTCTCACTGGTGTCTATCAACACTATAGTTTTTATGATTCTATTTAATTGTTGATTTTAGTCATGGTGACCCCATGTAACAGCAGAACTGCCCCCATACGGTTTTCCAGCGTAGTGGTTACAAATCGGGCTGCGAACCCTAAGGTCAGCGGTTCGAAACTACCAGCCGCTCTGCAGGAGAAAGATGATGCTTTCTACTCCCGTAAAGATTTATACCCTCGGAAACCCTGTACAGGGTCGCTATGGGTCAGAACCGACTCGACAGCACTTAACAACAACAACAATTTATAGAAGTGTATCACCAGGTCTTTCTCCTGCAGAACTGCTGGATGGGTTCAAATAACCAACCTTTTGTTTAGAAGCTGAACATGTGACCATTGGGCCACCTGGGCTCATGTATGTATTACTGAGATAGTAACAAAAAGAACAGTTACCAAGACACTGATAAACACACGGCTTTATTTTTAAAATGAACATTTAATTCAACATTGCGGTAACAATTGAACTATTTAAAAACAGATGCAGTTAGAGGCTAAAACATATATTTAGTTTTTGATGGCCCATGCTCTATAGCAAAATGATGCTAGGAAAATGTCTTTAGAAAAGAGAAATTCTCTAAATGCAAGTCTAAAATGCCCAAAAGGGATTATAGGTTTTAAAGATCCAAATCAGAAATACCCAATATTAGAGATGTGTCATTTAATTCGTAAAGGGCTGACATAATAAATATTCTGTATTTTTTAAGAGAGAGGTGACCAACAAATATACAACTCATTATTTCCTAGAGGCTGGCATCCCAGAGCTAAACAGTAGACAGCCAGCACCTGGCTCATGCACCAGCACCATCTTTGTTCTTCGGGATCCTTCTTGGCTTTCATCTGAGCCACTCCAAAGGCACTGTGAGGAAAACAGATGGAAAGTAGAGGCCCATTTCTCCACATGGCAATTAGAAAAGAGGGTTCAATCTACGCCGAATTGTCCACACAAGGCCTCACTCAATTTGAAAAATGGCCAATTCTGTTAAATATGCCAACACTCCAATAAGGTATTTATGACATAGAATCTGAAAGGGGAAAAAAAGAATAGAATTAATTAAAATAGATTTTGAATGACCCATGTTATCTTTGTCTATTTGTTGAAATGTAACATTAAGCCCATTGTGATTGAACCGCAAAGCAATTCTTTTTTATTTAATCAAGACATATGATAAGTACTGGACTACAGTTCAAACCTACCAGCCACTCTTCAGAAACCTATATAGGTAATTATGAGCCAGAACCAACTTGATGGCACTTAACAACAACCAATTTCAATGGAGTCCTGATGTGGCAATGTAGGTTAAACACCACACTGCTAACCACAAAGTTGGTGGTTCAAATCCACCAGCCACTTCTCAGAACTGACTCGGCAGTAAACAACAACTACCACTACTATTAGCCAGTGGGGCTTAGAAAAAAAAATTAGACCACAGTTCTTACTTATCCTGGCTTCTATATGTGGGCTGACAGTATATCCAAGAGATAAAAGAAGGAAAGTGTATCTATGAACTCTTAAGTCTTATATGCAAAATTTCCAATATCTATCTTTTCCAGAAAGAATCCATGACTTCCTGATTTCCAAAGGGATTTATGATTCCAAGAAGTACCTTGTAGAAATTAAGTAGTTGGCAGAAACATAATTAACACATTAAATTCAAACTTTTTGAGAGACAGTACAGTATTGCAATTAAAAGTATAAGCTTTTGAGTTAGATGGCTGGTTTCAAATTCTGACTCCTCTTACTAGCTATGTAATCTTAAGGAAGCAACTGATTTGCTCTGTGCTTCAGGTCCCTCTTAGGTAAATAGGGTATATTCTCTAAAGTGCTGAGCACTGCCTGGCACAAGTTGTTAGTTATCCTCATGGCACACTATTTGAATCTAGTGGCCAGTTACTGTTTTATATCATCATTCATTACGAGAGTTTCAGATATTTACAACAGACCAAATGTTAAGTTTACATGTTAAGTCTACACACACCATATGTAAGCTTTTAAATACAGTTCACTAATAAAAGTATAGACATACAGAAACAAAGTTTTACAGGTATAAGAATTTCTTAAAACACTGAATTCTGAGGCACTAAAACCTTTTTGTTCCTTTACGATAACAGTAATATATAGTATACAATACAGTGTTTCAAGGCCTTCACTGTAAACCCTAGTTTACATACATTTGTGTACCCATATCATATGCAAAAGGAGCTCTGGTAGCATAGTGGTTACAGTTGAGCTGCCAACCTCAAGGTCAGCAGTTCGAAACTACCAGCAGTTCGGTAGGAGAATGATGAGGCGTTCTGTTCCCGTAAAGATTTACAGCCTTGGAAACCCTGTGCAGGGTCACTATGACTTGGAACCGATTCTACGGTACTTAACAACAACATATGCAAAATACTTTTTCAGATTTTCTATTTCTCAGAAGTCCTGGCGGCACAGTGGGTTAGGCATTGTCAGCAGTTCATACCCATCAGCTGTTCCACAGGAGAAAGATGTGGCTGGCTGCTCCTGTGAAGGAAGATTCAGTCTCAGAGACCCAATGGAGCACTTCTAGTCTGCTCTGTCCTTTAAGGCCACTGAGTCAGAATCAGTTCTATGGTAGAGGGTTTGGGTATTATATTTCTTACCTTTTCCATTTGTTAATACTAGTCTCTTCCCATCAAAATTATTTTCCAACCCACATCAGAGTAATGACCTCAGTTTGAAAAGTACCAGGAGAGTGGATTGAGGGTGAACTTTGAGGAACCTAAGAACAAGAGTCAAATCTTAGTGACTCCTCTTACTAGGCTACCTTGTTCATGTCACTTAAACCTCTCTTGGCTTCAAGTTTCTCATTGTAGAAATAAAATGTGTTCGGCAACAGATAATGGTGCTGGTTGCCGTAACATGATTGATGTAGCTCTACCACTGAATTGTGCATATGAAAAATGTTTAATTGACAAATGTGTGATCTATATTTTTCCCAAAAAAAATTAAATGTGGATTAAAAACTACCTGTACTTTTACACAAATAATATATTCCTTCTATGTTTGCCAACTGCTTTCTCCCCAACCCTTGCCAACTGCTCTCTCCCCAACCCTCAGACACTTCTGTAAATGTTAACACCAACTTTTTTTTTACATGTTGCTGTGAAAAAAATCAGCATAGTTTGTTTGCAAAAATACCTTCCATGGGGAGGGAATAGGTGACAAACAAATTAGAAAGTGCATGCTATTTGTGCAAAAATATGGTTAACTACTGGGTTGTAAAGATTAAAATACGGTTACAGTAAACCCCCAGCACAGTGACAAGACCAGTCACTGAGTTATTAAATGTATTTTAGGTGCCAACTCTCTATTTCTGATCCTTCTTATGATATGCATTTGTTGTTGTTACTGTTGTTGTGAAGTCCTGATTAGTCGGTTCTGACTCATAGTGACCCTGTAATAGGGTTTCTGAGGAGCAGCTGGCAGGTTTGAACCACCAACCTTGTGGTTAGGGGCCCAGTGCTGATCCTACAGTACTATACCAGGAGTCCATGATATGTACTGTACTAAATGCAGAGGATAATGTAATACTTCTTATTTTCTCTCCCAGTCAGGTTGCTCTTGTTAAGTGCCATTGAGTTGTTCTGACTCATAGCAACCCTGTATAGGGTTTCCAAGGAGCGGCTGGTGAGCTTGAAGCGCCATCATTGTGGTTCAAATGACCTTGCAGCCCAGCGCATTAACCCACAACGCCACACCAGGACTCCAGTCAGGTTAGGAAAACCTAAATTACAATTAGGATTTCTTAGTTCTGTGTTCCTAGCTATAATTGCCTTATCTAAAACAAAATCTTCTGTTACTCTGTTAATTATTTCAATATTTGCCAAAAACAATTTTTAAAGTACCAAAAAATTATTATACAGTAATTCCTATTATTACCAAAGTTTGTAGTACACAGCATGTAGTGTGTCCTCCCATTAGAAGTATACTAGAAGTCTCACCTATAAAGCATGAAAAAAGTCTATTGTCTTGAAGTGACATTCATATAAAGTTTTCTTCAATGTAGAAATATAATCATCATTTTGAAAACTATACAACAATAAGAAAAAAATACTTAACTAGATTTAATTGTTCAAACTAACCTTTATTTTTCCATCAGTATGTGCTGAAGCTACAGATGTTGAAACACGAACCAGTCTTGTGGCTGATAAATGAATTTTGAAATGTCTATGGAAATGTGAGTAAAGGCAGTCCATGAATAAGTCAACTTCCTCTTGTGTCACTTCCCCAGGGGTCTTGTGGACACTGTCCCACAAAGCTTTTGCATCCTCTGAATGTATGGTATAAGAAATGTCCAGACTTTGAGGGCTACAGGGTACAGACCAAAGAAACTCAGTAGTAGCCATGTAACAGTCCATTTTGCACGCAGTCCACATAGCAGCCATCCAGGAAAGGTTAAACGCATTGATAGATAAAGGACGAAAATAACAGTCAAAGGTGTTCTGAAACCAGTTTCCAATTATGGCTGTATTTGACTCTGCTCCATTTACAAGGAACAGGGGTAGACAAGTGAAATCTTTTGAGACAGTCTCAAGAAGACTGTCTCCAAATACACAGCAAAACCAACCAGTCCATAACACTTTCTCTTCCAACTTCCCAGCTGGCCGTTGAGATTCTGACAAAATCTATTAAGAAGAAACGTAAAAAGTACATTTACTCCTACGATAGGATGAATGGAAAGCTAATGTTCTCCCATGTAAATTACCACATAATTCACAATAAAACAGTTAAAAAAAAAAAAAGTACATTTATTCCTAAATTACATATCTTCAAAATCTGTACACTTAGAAAAAAGATCTATTATATTACATGGCAAAAACAAAACCACAGTGGCAGTAGTCTCCTTAATCATTACTGTTGTTGTTAAATGCTGTCAAAGTTGGTTCCGACCCATAGCGACCCAGTATAGAGTTTCTGAGGAGCAGCTGGGTGGGTTTGAACTGCCAAGCGTGTGGTTCACAGTCCAGTACTGACCCAAGTGCCACCCAGAATTCCGAATAATTATTAGTAGGGTTTATCTAATTAATCTTTATCTCAATACTCTTATAAAATACAAACATGGTATATGGCAAGAGGTTGGTGCAACCAAAATGCAAAATAAGGGATTGTCAATATAGCATAACCAGGTATAATATTTTTTTAAAAAAAGAATCTTAAAATCTCAACTTTAGAAGGGAATATAAAAGTTATCAAATCCAACTTCCTTAATTCCTTAAATTCTTCCTAAATTCATTTCTTCTGTCACCTTAAAATGTTCTTGCATAAAAAATGTTCTTGCATACATTAAACCCTATAGTTTTCAACCACCTTATGTGCCTAAAACAAACCTAGTCCTCCTTCTACAAGAAATGCCCTGTAAATATATGATGGTCCATATCACATATATTCAGGAGAAAGATGTTTGTGTCCATAAAGATTTTTTTCTCAGAAACCCGACTATAGGGTTGTTCTAAGTTGGAATCAACTCAATGGCAGTGAGTTTGATGTGGCACTGCAGGAAAATACACTGGACCACAAGGTCGGTTCTAACTCACCAGCCGCTCCTCTGAGGAGACAGCTTCTTCCCCAGTGGTCTTCTGAGTGCCTTCCAATCTGGGGGGCCCATCTTGAGCACTGTATCAAACAATGCTCCACTGCTGTTCACAAGGTTTGCAGTGGTTACCCATTCAGAAGTGGCTCACCTCTTTTTCTTCCTAGGCCTTTTTAAATACTACTTCTTGCCTGGAACTTGAGTATGATGTTTAGTCCTCCCAAAGCTATCTTAGACTTTGAGATCACTTTAAAGATGGAGGCCATGACAGAGAAGAAAAATAGAAGATGCCTAGAATATTTATGATTTCATGAAACATCATACCAGCCTGAGCAACTTAGCTCCAGATACCTTTCTATGCAAGATAAAATTCTGTCTTATTCAGTCCACTGTTTTTTAATGTTTTGTAAATTTTCTACAATAAAAAGTAGCTACAGTTGAGTAAATTGCAATTCCTAGTGACCTCATGTGTCACAGAGTTTTACATGGCTGGTTTTTCAGAAGTAGATAACCAGACCTTTCTTCCCAGGTACTTAAGAGTATACTTGAACCTCCAACCTTTTTACAATAAACCTGATTATATTACACTCAATTGTTTATAATCAGTCATATCTAGTTACTATAATGTGGTCAAATATAAAATAGGTTAAATCAAGCTCAGGAATTTAAAAACATTAAAAGAGTGTCACAATTTCCAAACTCAGAACATGCATACTCCTTCCCCCTATGAAGCTAGGTAGCAGTACTGCTTATATACAGCACCTGGACAAGAAATGCTTCCGAGTCCCTTCGTGTTCCTTTCACTCCTAGGAGGGTAGAGAAAATCACTTTGACATTGATGTCTTCTCCCACTTCCACAGCAAGTCCTTTATGCTTCTCAGCAGTAAGAAACGCACTTAGGAGTCTAGAGTACTCTTTGAGATTAGCATAGGAGAATTTGTATAAGGGAGTTAAACTATACAAAGTCCACTGCTTATGTAGAAGGAGCGCAATCTTTTGAGGGTCAACATCTTCCTAAAAACCAAGACAAAAGAAGTTTAAGAATTAGTAAAATGAATAAATAAGAATTAATTACAGCATTGTAAACTTTACAGTGACTCTATTACTGGGCACATGATCTTTGCACTCCAATCCCATAAGATTGGTTAAGGATACTTGAACAACCCTCTGCATTTGCTTTGTCTTCCATTTGAAATGCTCTCCCCTGAGCTATTCATATGGCACATGGCATGTTCCTCCTCTTCATTCAGGTCTTTGCCCAAATATTACCCAAGAGGGTACACTATCTAAGGCAACACCAACACCCACTCCAGCCTTGTCACTATTATTTTCTTAACCTGCTTTGTTTTTCTTTAAAATACTGACATCTACTTGCTATTATATACTTGTCCAATTTTTCTACCTGAAATTAGTTATCTGTTCTTATTTCCCTAGTAGAGTATGAGCTTAAGAAGAGCAGGGATCTTGAGTCTTTTGTCCACCTAGAGCTGTGTCCTCTAGAACAGGTGTTCAATAAGTATTTACTGGATGAGCATTAACATTTCCCTTTTAACAACTTGAAACAGTCAATTTCAAAAGTTAACTATTCTCAGAGTATCAAATTTGATTAGATTTAATTGTGTCATTGTTTGATGGCAAATTCACTCGTAATATAATGGAAGAATGCAGAAAATTCAATAGATTAAATTATCCAATACTTTGTATTTTTTTGCAATGCTTTATTAGAACAAAGCACTTTCTTGTGTATTGACCAGCCCTGTGGCATTGTTGAGGGTCTTTACATAAGCGCCAATTTCTCCTGAACTGAATTTTCCTATAGACAGTATTTCCTGACAGTCTCATGGCTCAAGTCTCTTTTGAAACTGTCACTAAAAAATAAAAATGTTTGTGGCTAAAGCATTCATTGAAAGTTATAAATATCCTTCTTATCACCATTAAAATGTAGAGCAAAATTATCTTTACCAAAGATATATGGAAGTACTGAATTAGACATTCCAATCTTTCATTTATGTAAAACTTCTGTTTTCTGGTTACTCATTCCATAGTCAGTTTTTCTTTAAGATTTCAGAAAAATGTTCTCATATCCCAAGAGATACTAAGCACATAATGTTGCTAAGTGAGCGAGAGGCTACAATAAAGGTGTGGGTGATTAGTTACTAGCTAAGTGACTCAAAGTCATAAACAAATTCTTTTCATTAAAATTACAAATTACCAATATTATGGTGGTGGTGTGCTATGCAGTCACTTCACACTCATAGCAACCCTACATAGGGCTTTCTGAGGCTGTAGATCTTTACAGGAGCAGAAAGTCTCATCTTTCTCCCATGGAACAGCTGGTAGTTTTGAACCAATATTTTATGCCTCTAAAAATAACTCAATATTATTTGAATGATCAAAACAACTAATTTTCCATCAGCCCAAACATAGGACACGTTAAGTACCAAAATAACGTAGTAATACCTTAAAAACCTTGAAAAGCAAGAATTCTTAAGTCCACACCAATAATAAATACATAAATAAATGAATGGAAGAGTGATTACAGAAAGGAAAAAGGCTTATAATGGAATAAAGGCTTAGCAAGAGGAGAGTGTTGTAGTTGGAAAATCATTTTGCAATCATCATAATAAAGATTGGACCAGGCAAAAATTATCAATGAATACTAAATGGAAGGGGAAAATTGATGAGGAGCAGGATATTTACATTACCATAAGTGTTTCCCACAGACTATTAGTTACAAAGAAAATGGTAGAGATGACCAGAATTATTCAGTAAGGAGTAGAGAAAGTAGGCAACACTTTGACAGGATGATCATGACAGTCTACTAGTCCCTTGGACTAATTGCTTCCATACTACTTAATATGTGCTATTAGGAGTCCTGGTGTGGAGCTGTGGGCTAATGCGCTGTACTGCAAAGTCGTTAGAACCACAAGGTCGGTGGTTCAAGCTCACCAGTCACTTCTTGGAAACCCTATACAAGGTTGCTATGGGTCAGAACTGACTCGATGGCACTTAACAACAACAACTAGGTATAAAACTAGCCCTAGAAGCATAATGGATTACAAGTTGGGTTGCTAACTACAAGGTCAGCAATTGGAATCTACCAGCCACTCCCCTGGAGAAAGATGAGGCTTACTGCACCCAGAGTCCTAGTGTGGTGCTGCAGATCAGCACTGGACTGCTAACCACAAGGTTGGTGGTTCAAACCCACCAGCCACTCCTTGGAAACCATATACAGGGTCACTATGAGTTAAAACTGACTCAACGACACATAACAACAACAAAAGACTTACAGCCTCAAAAACCCTATAAAGGGTCACTGTGAATTGGAACCAACTCCACAGTACATAATCACCACCACCACCACTAGGTGTAAATCCCAAAGGACAAAGCATTTGTGCAGTGTAACAGCCAAGAATACCTAACGTCAAACAAATCATGAAGAAACATCAAACACAAAATGAGGAATATTCTATTTAAAAAGAGAAAAGGGAAAACTATTCTTCAAAAATGTCAATAGCATAAATAAATAAATAAATAAAACCGCTATGAAGATACTCTAGAGAAATTCCAGATATACCAAAGGTGGTGCTGAAAATATGAAATAATTGGTTTTTTGAAAACTGTTTTTCATTTATTTTATTACCTGAAGGATCAAAAAAGATCTAAAAATAGTAACCAAAAGTGCTTTGTGCATGGACCTTCTCAACTGTTGGGTTAACATGGAAAGAGTTATAATGCATACCTGCAATTGTGAGCACTGAAGAATTTTCTTTCGATGTGGAGTTGAGACAAATGTCGTCTGCTTCCTGACTGATTCTAATCGTTTCTGCAGAGGAGTAGCACCTATCGAGTATTCCTTAAGCTTCGAAGATGCACTTTTACTAGGAGTCAATTCTGAGTCATCATAAGTATCCATGGTCTACATAAAGAGAAATAAAACCAGAACTCTGTCGGGGACCCGCCTCGACATTGGGGTTCAGTTCACGAGGAGGGGATACCTGACGGCGATTGCAATATATCAAGAATACACAGAAAGAGACAAAGAGAGAGACAATGAGGCACCCCAAAGCCAGGGTGGATACATCACTGGTGGGCAGGCCTGGGACTACAGGCATCGTGGCCTCTGCAGGCACCAACTCACTGCCCTGCAATCTTTACTCCATGCCTCTCAACTAGTAATGCACTGCCATCTTTACTCCATGCCTGCCAACCAGTCATGCACACCTGGGGAGGCCCGGGCCTCTGCTTTATTTAGGGGAGGAGCTTCACACCAAGCTGGGAGGGACTTAGGCAAGGTACAGCTAACATCAGTACTTTTCCAGACATTCAGGTAACTTCACATCGTACTTCGCTGGTTCGAATCCCAGGCCAGCAACTTGGTTTCTCAGGCTCAATTAACATATCTATAGCCCCTGAGCATAGTTGAGGGAAGGTGAGAGATAAAGACAAAAGCTTGGGCGGAGTCCTGCTACTTTGGCTTCCTGAGCCAGGTCTGCAGGAGGACTCGAGACGCCTGCCTGAGTGAATGGGCTGCACCTGGAAAAGGATTAGGGAGGATGGGTTCTTTGTCTATAGAACAAACAACCAAGAAGTAACTAAGATATTTTTAGTTAATCCTTTGGAGAAAGGCTTAACCTTGCAACCTTTAGTCTAGGCTTTAGGAAAATATCACATTTATCTGTGGATTGTCAAAGGCTCCATTTATTAATTTAATATCAAAACTACCAGCTGCTCCGCGGGAGAAAGATGAGGCTTTCTACTCCCGTAAAGATTTACACCCTCGGAAACCCTGTACAGGGTCGCTATGACTCGATGGCACTTAACAACAACAACAACAATATACCTGAATATTAATTTGCTATTAACTGCCAGTGGCCTCATTTGTTACACTCGGCCCTAGAGGGCCTCGAACCTCTGACTAGTCTTACACGGTCTGCAACAGAACTCTAAACACTAAAGAGTTATTTCATGCTCAGTTTCACTGATTCCTCTCCTCGCTATAGAGGAATAATTCTTTTTCTCCCCTGCTCCCTGCCACCCAGTTTGAACTGTCAACCAAGTTTTGTGTTTCTCATTTGCTGCAGTCATTTTCAGGAGTATCTTATAGTCAAAATTACACTAGATTCCTTCCCTTCCTTCTTCTTTCAGAAGTAGATCTTGCTAGCTGATGCTGAATTGACACCTAGCTCATGGTGACCTCATACACAATCATAACAAAAAGCTGCCCAAACCTAGCTGATCCATTTTCAAACTTTTCTGTCAATTTGCTACTCATTTAACTTAAACTCACAGAGGTAGTCCCTCACCTCTAAGCACATTCTTTTGAATTTTTCCTCAGTCTCTCACCCATTCCCAAATATAGTTCCCTTTAAATCCTTGCCAATAGGCCATTTCTTACTACTGCAACAGGAGATCTCTGTATCTAAGGGTAATTGGGTCATCTAAACTCATCTGCTGGGTATGTAAGGCCTGCCATACACCAGATTTTGTGTATAGGATAAGCACTCAACTGGAAGGTCAGTTTCAATTGAAAGTTTGGTGGTTCAAACTCACCAGCCGCTCCTCGGAAACCCTATACAGGGTTACTATGAGTCAGAACCAACTCAACAAGCACTTAACAACAACAACAGTTGACAGATGGGAAGACAGAGAAGTAATTCAAAATTCAAACCCACTGCCGGTGAGTAGATTTTGACCCCTCACAACACATTAAGGGCAAGGAACTCTGGTAGCATAGTGGTTACGAATCGGGCTGTGAACTGCAACGTCAGCAGTTCAAAACTACCAGCTGCTCCACAGGAGAAAAAGATAAAGCTTTCTACTCCCGTAAAGATTTACAACCTCAGAAACCCTGTTCAGGGTCACTATGGGTCGGAACCGACTCGACGGCACTTAACAACAACAACACTGTAAGGGCAGGGCTAACTCCATAGGGCTCCCAAGTCTGTAATCTTTACAGAAGACTACCGCATTATCCTCCTAGAGCAGTCTGAATCACCAACCTGACCTTTCAGGCAGCAGCTGAGTGCTTTAACCACTATGCTACCAGAGTTCCTTAACTTTTCAGTCATACAATTCATAGGAAGAGTGTGTATTTGAACTTAGTCTGATTCCATTTGTCACATGGACTTTTAATAGGGATCAACTTCAAGGCAAAGAAAAAGGTAAGCCTGCAAGAATGGCAGAAAGGTTCTGTGCGGGCTCTTGGGTCTAAAGGACAAGCACCACTCCTGGCTTTATTTGTGTGATGGTTAGGAGATCCCCTTTTCCGCTTCTGGTGCCGGTGGTGATATGCCACCGCGGAGTCAGTTCTGATTCATAGTGACACTGCGTAGGGTTTCCAAGGCTGTAAGTCTTTACAGGAGCAGAAAGCATCATCTTTCTTCCCAGAAAGATGAAACCTCAGAAACCCTGTACAGGGTCCTATGAGTTGGAAACAACTCCATGGCACACAACTACCACCACCAATATACCATGGTGGAGTCCTAGTGTGGTGCCATAGGATAAGCACTGCACTGCTAACCCCAGGGTTGGGGTTCAAACCCACAGCCTCTCCTCAGAAACCCTATGCTGGGTAGCTATGAGTCAGAATTGATCAAAAGCACTTAACGACAAATACAATGGTATTTTCAATCACTTCATATGCATGTGAAAGTTAGACAATGAATAAGTAAGACTATAGAAGAATCGATGCATTTGTATTATGGTGTGCTGTTGTTGTTGGTAAGTGACTTAAAGTTAATTCTAATCCACAGCGACCCTGCATAGGGTTTCTGGGGAGCAGGTGGTAAGCTTGAAATACCAACCCTGCAGTCAAGTTGACTTTGCAGTTCAGCGACAGACTTCCAGAAGAACAAACCAACCTGAGTTGGAAGAAGTACAGCCTGAATGCTCCTTAGAAGCCAGGATGATGAGACTTCTCTCATACTATGGACATGGTATCAGAAGGGACTAGTCCTTGGAAAAATGGAGGACCAGCAAAAAAAGAAGGACTCCCAACAAGACGGACCGGCACAGTGGCAGTAGCAATGGGTCCAAATGTAACAACTGTGAGGATGGCACAGGACTGGGCAGCGTTTTGTTTTGTTATACATAGGGTCACTATGAATCAGAACTGACTCAACGGCACCTAACAAAAACATACCTCTCACTCCTGATTCAAGACTGTAATTTTGCCCAACCTAATAATCAAGTCCTGGTGTGGGTTAATGCGCTGGACTGCGAAATTGCTTTGAACTGCAATGTCGGTGGTTCAAGCTCACCAGTTGCTCCTCGGAAACCCTGTACAGGGTCACTATGGTTTGGAACTGACTCGATGACACTTAGCAACAACAACAACAACAATAATCAAGAGTCCTGGTATGGCACTGTGGGTTAACACACCAGACTGCAAAGTCATCTGAACTGCGTAGTCGGAAGTTCAAGCTCATCAGCTGCTCCTTGGAAATTCTATACAGGGTTGCTGTGGGTCAGAACCAACTCAATGGCACTTAACAACAACAATAATCAAGTTATAGTTCTTCTCTGAATATATTATCCCTTTTTTTTTCAATCATAAAGAAATTCTTATTTGCTTTCTATAGCCAATTCATTTACCAACATTCTGGATTCTGGTCATTCTTCCCAGCTCTCTTAAATGTCATCTTATCTCCTATGTTTATTTCAACTCTCTATCATTTCTAATCTCTACTCAGTAGCACTGTTTTCTTCCACTCCCAAGCATATTCTAGTACTCCTTCAACTAAAATTTTTTTTTTCCTTAAATAAAATTCATCCTGATGGCTCTTTGCATACAGTTCATTAAGATAAAATCCCCAGGCCCAGGAGCTGAGGATGCTAGCTTCTAACATGTAACATTCTAAAAGGTTAGCCTTGAAGAACTGGATTCACCTGAGTTGTCATGGCCTCCCCTATGCTAAAGATAAAACTTCAAGCTGCAGTGGAAATTTTTGTATATATAAAATAGAAATTTTGGAGCTAATTGAACAAGCCCCTTCCTTGTTCCTCTCACAAATCAAAATACTTTTGTGCTTGGAAATGGAATATGTAGACATGACTGTTAACTTTAAAAAACAACTGTAAATTGTAAAAATGTAAAAACACTGTACTCTAAGCTCTCTATAAGAATCCAAGGTTAGCAGACAACGACTCTGCCTGATTCCTCATTGGTGTCACCCCAAATAAACTCTCTTCTACCCTACCTAGGAGTGTGTGTGCTATTGGCGTTTTGCCCTCGGTTATGAACCTAATTTTCCAGTGACAATCTCATTCCTACTGAGACCAATCTCCTGGAAATGTGGTGAACAACTATAGCTTCCACTAACTAATAAGTATTTGACTGAAAACCTTTAACAATCTCTTTTTTGTATACATCTCTATCTCTGTTAAGAAACTCTTGGTGACTTAGGGGGAAGGGTTAATAGGGATGTTGTGCGGCAGAAGGCCCACCCTCTAGAACTGCTACCGGTGCTCCATCAGGACATCCAGATGTCCCCACCAGTGCACGAGAGGTCACCCACATGCTACGGACAAGCCCTGTTTCAGGAGCCACCACCTACAACCAAAAGAACGGCAAGGACAACTACACATACAGCACACACCAGGCTACAAGAACAGCCCTGCTGCCCGCCCACGGTTGCTAGACGCCTTCTACACAAGACTCCAGGGTCTACAGCATCCCTAGTCAAGATGTAACCTGGTACTCTTCCCATCCCCATCTCATTGCATTGTGGCGGTCGGAAGCTGTCTGTTTGCAGAGTTGGGATTATTAAAAACGCCTCAACTTTCCCGGCCATCATCTTGTTTCTGTTTGAGTTCATGAAGCTCGAGGAAGCAAAGACACCCCAATAGGGAGCAAACTTTTCTTAAAGTGAACAACACATCAGGCTTTTCCTACAGTGTCACGGCTTTATCTGATTAAGCATCTAGAGTATTTCACAAAGTGTGGTAGGAGTGGTACTGAATCCAGGGTGAAGGCAACTTAATACAGCACTGCTTTTATTCCCTCACCCAGCAGTCTTCAATTTGAGAAAGGTGAGAAATACCATTTTGATCAATGAAATTTATACCATTTTCAAAAGAAGAAACTGTATTTTTAAAGATACTAACCTTTTTGCTAAACAAAATTAAAATTCAAAAAACACCTAAACAAAACCTATCAACCACAGCCAAATACTTGATTCAAGCTTGTTCATTCTTATTCTTCTAAACTTTCTGCTTCATTGTTTTTCTGACATTCACTTGGGGATTGTTGTTGTTAGGTGCCATCAAGTCGATATCGACTCATACCAACCCTATGCACAACAGCACAAAACACTGCCGGGTCCTGGGCCAACCTCACAATTGTACTCCATGCATGTCATCATGGTCTACTCTCCTCTGAGGAGGCAGCTTTTCCCCAGTCACCTTTTGAGTGCCTTCCAACCTGAGGGGCTCATTTTCCAGCACTATATCGGACAGTGTTTCTCTGCTGTTCATAAGGTTTTCAGTGACAATATTTGGAACTAGTTTGTCACTCCTTCTTCCTAGTCTGTCTTTGTCTGGAAGCTCATCTGAAACCTGTCCACCATGGGTGACCCTGCTGGTATTTAAAATACCCATGGCATAGCCCTCAGAATCACAAGCCACCACAGTACAAAAAAACTTGGAGGTAGGGGAGATGTTTCTCCTCAGTTTTTTTCTGATTAATTTGCTGAATCCTTGTCTTTCTACAATTCCAATAGTGGGGTGCCCACCCCAGATACCAAAATCACACATTCTACATATTTAAAGGCGCTTTGGTAGCTTAGTGGTTACAAATCGGGCTGTGAACCGCAAGGTCAGCAGTTCGAAACTACCAGCTGTTCTGCGGGAGAAAGATGAGGCTTTCTGCTCCCGTAAAGATTTACAGCCTCGGAAACCCTGTACAGGGTCGCTATGAGTCGGAACCGACTCCACGGCACATAACAACAACAACAACATATTTTTAAAAGCACTCATTCTACACATGATTTCTACATCTTGTATCTTAAAATCTTCGCACCTGCATGCGTCAAAACTGACTCTAAGGCACTTGAAAGCACAACAACATCACTTCACTTTATCTGACCAAATCTTATCCACTCTGCAGGTTCCATCTCTTCAGGAGAAACTCTCAAGTCTCCAGGGATCTAGGTCTCCCACCTATCCCTCTTGCATTTGTAGTTCACAACACACAAATGAAACTTAGCTATTTTTCTTGCGACAGGTTCTAGAAAGAAGGGACCCTGACTTAAATTCCTTTTCTGCATTGCAACCAATTACTAAATTCTATCGCCCCGATGCCAATGTTTAGCCAAGTGCTAAGCATGTAGCAAATGAGTAACACGTCTAAACACACACAAGCATCGTAAATAGAATGACCACGCACTAGGGCAAAATGTCAAGTTTACACCTAGCCGTGGACCAATACAAAGGACCTTACCAATATAATGCAGTGATGACTCTGTCTCGCATTCCGGCTTCACAAATCATTCTTCCGTCTGGATCCAAAAATCCGTCGAGGCTAAAATTCCTTGAAGTAAAAAAGCCGCCAAACTGATAACTAAGAAAAAACTCGGAGAAAAGCCGGCATTCCAAGTGCCATCTCGCATCAAAACAAATGGACTCACGAGACATAGACACACTCAGTTAAGGAGACCTCTGCTCCCTCGAAGAGAGGCCAGCCGACTTCTCCCGGGAACGGTACTTCCGCCACCCAGTTTCTGCGACCCTCACTCTTGGGGAAGCGACCCTTACTCCTACTTCCCGATGAGGGGAGAAGGCAAAGGGCAGTGTGTCCCAACTCGTCCCTCTCCTCCTGGACTTTTTTGGGACTAAGGCCAGCCTTCAGATCCCGCCGTTCAGAACCGGGAATGCAATCCTCAACCGCCACTTCCACCTCCGTTTAAAATCGCATCCCGACTCGCTCTGCGGTCAAACGTAGCACGCTTCCTCAGTCTATTTCAAGTCATATGAAGCAAATAATGTCACCATCTTAATTAAGGGCAAGGCCAAGTAGCCTAAGTAAACGTTATCGTCCACATCTCTGTTTCCCTCCAGCCCTTGTTTCCTCGATGTGATGTTCTCACCCATGATTTCCGCCCGTAGTAAGCATGGCAGCAACACCCCCGACCTGATTGGTTGACAGCGTAATCCTAGGCACTAGCTAGGCGGAGTGAGAGGCGCTTAGTTCCTCTAGGGTAGTGGTGTTCGACACTGGGACTTAACGTTTTGGTTTGCTCGCCTACCTCTTACAGAACACCCGCGGTCTGCTGCCAAATCTGGGAGATTTGAACGCAAGGCCAGATTCCTCGCTGTTTTCCGGTTCTATCTCGAAACTCTTGTGGAAGGAAGTGAAGGACATGCGCCTGGTGACCGACTTCCCCTCCTCCTCTGCACTGTCGCGGGCATCCGCCTTGCGCTGCACGGTGCAATCATTCTGCCTCCCTTCTGGCAGCAGCCTGGTTTGTTACTAGTTGAAATTGATGCACTGAGACGGGGGGGCGGGGGGAAAGGTCTTTGTCTTACCCACTTCCCGAAGGATACCAAAGACCTTACAGACTTATTTTCTAGTATCTAGAGACATGTGCTTGAATATTGAGCAAAGGAGGGCTGAAATACTGAGACGCTGAGTGGCAACTTTTAGAATCTTAAGGGAATTCTGTGTATTACCAAAACTGACTTTTGACCAACAACAGCAGCGTGGGATTCGTGAACGTCTCTTGACACTGTGTCTCTCCAAAATGTTCCGCTGTGGGCTAAGTCGACTGTACAAGGGTTTATCTAGACCCACTGGACACATCGTCCAGCCCATCTGGTGTTCTTTCCCCAGAAGTCTGGTGCTGAGTCCACAGAGGAGAATTCCAGGTGAAAATACTGAAGATCTCTGAACAACACTTCCAGAGTGCTCCTTTTCAATCACCCATCACCCGGAGTCTTATCCTTGTGTGTAGTAACAGATCATTCACTTGCCTAATTCTTTATGATGCAGTTTTTTCCCTTGAAAAGGCCCCAAGAAGATAAACCGTATTGATGGGATACTCTGTTTTTATGTTGATGCTACTAGTACTGTTGTTGTGTGCCATCAAGTGGATCACCACTCATAATGACCCTGTAAGATATACTAGAACTACCCCATAGGGTTTCCAAAAACTGTAACCCTTACAAGAACAAATTACCAACAGAGCTGTTGTAGGTGGTTACTTTCGGTTTGCAGATAGGTGCTTACTCATTGTGCCACCCAGTCTCCTTAATTCTAATGCTGTTAAATGCTGTTGAGTCAGTTCCACTCAGTGACCCTGTATAGTATTTCGGAGAAGTGGCTGGTGAGTTTGAACCACCACTGTACAGTTAGCAGTCCAGCACTTGTGCTGCAGCACCACACCAGGACTCCTGATGTTAATTGTGGAGGTGGTGTGCTGTGGAGCCCTTCCCACTAATAGCGACCTCCTATAGACTCTGAGTCTATAAATCTTTAAAAAAGCAGAAAGCTTCATCTTTCAGAGCACCTGGTGGACTCCCAATTACTGACCTTGCAGGTAGCAGCCCAATGTGTAACCCACTATGCTATCAAGGCTCCTGATGCTACTCATAAGAAGCCTAAGTAATTCTTTCACACTTGAGAATACTTATAATACAATACTTTTTTACTGGGTGTTTGACATTGTTGTTGTTGTTAAGTGCCGTGGAGTCAGTTCCCACTCATAGAGAGCCTGTATACGGTTTCGGAGTGGCTGTTAATTTTGAACCATTGACCTTACAATTCTAACTGCCCTTGTGGTCCAGTGCTTATCCTACAGTGCCACACCAGGATTCCTTGTTTGACACTAGACTCATACTGTAGGTACATATTTTCTACACCATCAAAATTCTGCAGTAATTCCTAAAATCACATTTCATTTGGAGTAGGAATGTGCAATCTTAAAGAATTGAGCTTTTAGGATCTTAGGTCAATGCAAATGCCAGAAGAATCCCCCAAAATTTAAAATTTCTAACAGCAAAAATTTACATAAAGAAAATAATTCACTTGGCTTTTGAGACATTTGTAAGTAAATTTAATAATAGACAAATCAAATAATCTGTAAATTTCATCCACTGGTGTGAAATAACTAAAATGTTGTGATCTGAGTCTTTATGTTTAAGCAATTTACAGTTGAGTTTTTTCTTTTTCTTTTTTCCTTAGATTTCAACAGCTTTGTTGGACGGACCAACACATGTGGAGAGCTGCGTACTTCTCACTTAGGCCAAGAAGTTACCCTTTGTGGGTGGATTCAGTACCGACGGTAAATTAAGGCAGATTAAGATTGCATGTTGGCTGTTCTTCCAAAGTAATTTCAAATCTTTATCAATTTTAAATGAGTCCAAAGAATAACAGCCTTGAAATTCCTTTATAATTCTGAGAATTCATTGAATTTTCAGTTTGTTTTGTATTGAAAGACCAAAACAATGTCACTCTTTTGGTAAGCGTCAGTAACATCTGTTGAAAGGTATAAAAATGGACTTTTAGGAGTCACTGGACCTGGGGGCTCAGAACCATAGTCTCAGGGTGCGCGATGGTTAATAGGCATAACACAGTCTGCAAAGACATTGTTATATCCTTCTTAGGTGAGGAACAACCGGGGTCTTAAAAGTTTGCAAACACTGTGTGTTTGTGTTGATGACTGCGGGGCAGGCTTGCAGGGTATACCCTTTGGTTGGTTGACGATGCATGGAGGGAATTATAACCATGACAGTGAAATGATATACAACAGGATGAATGTAAAGCTAATGTTCTCCCATGTAAACTATGTAAATAAAACATTAGAAAATAAAATATAAAGTTTATAAACAGGAACTATTGGTCAGGAGGAGAGATGAGTGATTAAAATTGATGACACTTGTAAATAATTAATCCAGTGGACTAATTGACCCTGAGTCTTCATGACCATGAGATGAAAAGAACTAGTTGGTGTCTGACTTCCACAAACAACTGCTCTTAAAAGGATCACATTAGAAGGTACTCGATATAGTGGGAGGAAATGTAAACCAAAACGAAATATGATCAAATAGACCAGGCTTGTTGGTCATATAGAGCCCGGTCGAACCCCGAGACTATGGCCCTTGGTCACCCGTTAGGTCTGGAACTGAACTCACTCACCCCTGTGGCTCAGTTTTCCACCAAACAATAGGTAGATATGAGGTGTCCACACCATAGAATGGTTAACCATTAGAGATCAAAAGGTCAGCATTTACCTCAGGAAAGTTCAAAAGGGTTGGAAAAGGAGGAAAAGAAACATAGGGAGGAAGTGGGATAAATGCGTTACATTGAAGGGGTTACACTCATTGAGGAAACTAATGATCTGCTTTGTAAACCACAATTCATAATTAAAAGTTGGGGTGGGGAGAGGTCCTTTATGCACCAATAGCCTGGTTTACTAAAGCTGTATACCTCCTGGAACCAGTACTTGGGAATTAACCATCATGCTGTGAACCAGCTGCTAAACTAATAACAGATTTCATTTGTTATAATTTTAGGTAAGGAAAAAGCCTAAAAATACGAAAAGTCGTAATTCCTTAAGAACAGAGCCCATTTCTTTTTATTAATTTCTATATTCCAGAACATATCTGAATGGTACATTAATTCATATTGAAGATATATCTACAATATATAGGTTATGTGGCCTTCATAAAGAATATGTTCCAAATAGGTGGATATTTGACCAATAAATTTGGTGACCCTATCTATATCCTGAACCTAGAATCTGAAGATGCTTTCTATACCTCTTCTTGGTGCTAAGGGCAATATGAGAAATGTAGACTGGATGCTGAAATGTTGGGATATCTGGGGCCATTTTTTTTGTTGTTTTAAGTTTTTACTGTTAACTAAGTGGTAGTTTATAGAGGAGAACATCAGCTTTACACCATCATTTCATTGCAATGATTACAACATCCTCTGTGCATCATAATACAACAGTATTTGCTTCCATTCCCTTTGTTGTTGGTTTTTTTGAGGGGTGATGTAGATGTACACAAAGACACTCAGGAATATATAATCATTTAAACAACCAAAGGGCACAATCTGCAAGCCTGCCTCCTGGCTGCTAGCACCCAGTCTCCCTCTTTCCATGAGTCCAGAGTCCTCAGTTGCTCCCTCTCTCCATATCCCCATCTCTGCCTCCATCTCTGGTGTCTCTGCTTCTCTGGATAGGATCCCACCTTCTGCTTGTGCTCTTCTCCCTTGATGGTCCTAAGGTCCTCTGTTTCTGGACTGTAAGATTAACTACTCCCCTGTTTTTTTATACAACTTATACCTTTATAGTTGTGACAGATGCAATTAGTCATGATAACAGTTACTCACTATTGAATCATAAGAATCTTATCCTGATCTCTTTTCACCAGACCCATCTAGACAAGATGAAAACTATTCAGTGGGGAATCTATCTTCCAATTCTGGGGCCTTTTAATGATTTATACAGATATTAAGTTAGTAGTTGGAACTCTTCAAGAAATTTAGATTTTATCTTTTTTCAGTAAGAAAAAAGATCTTACATTGCTATGTATCAAACATGACCAATCAGATATTTCTAAAGTAATATTCCTAAAATATTGTCTTTGTATTCTTTGATGTGAAATCTTTCCAAATTTAATAAAATTTTCGTGTAAAGACCTAAACCAATGAAAATTGGAAATGAAAACTATATGCCTTTTTATTAATAAGTCATATGGATGACACAGGTGGTGGTGGTGATGTGCCATGGAGTCAGAACTGACTCATAGCGACCCTGTACAGGATTTCCAAGGCTGTAAATCTTTACAGGAGCAGAATGCCTCATCTTTCTCCCGCGGAACAGCTGGTAGTTTCGAACTGCTGACCTTGCGGTTCGCAGCCCGATTCGTAACCACTACGCTACCAGAGCTCCTTATGGATGACATTATTAAGCCATGTTCCAACAAACAAACCAAACCTACTGCCATCAATTCAATTCTGTCTCTTAGTAACCCAACAGGACAGGGTTGTTGTTGTTAAGTACCGTCGAGTCAGTTTCAACTCATAGTGACCCTCTATAGTGTTTCTGAGGAGTAGCTGGTGAGCTTGCGGTTCAAACCGACTTTGCAATCCAGCACATTAACCTGCAGCATCATACCAGAATGACAACAGGTCAAAGTTGTTGTTGTTGTTGTTGTTAAGTGCCGTCAAGTTGGTTCCAATCCATAGCAACCGTGAACAGGGTTTCCGAGGCTGTAAATCTTTACGGGAGCAGAAAGATGAGGCTTTCTCCCGCAGAGCAGCTGATAGTTTCGAACTGCTGATCTTGCAGTTTGCAGCCCGATTCATAACAACTACGCTGCCAGAGCTCCTAAAAGGGCAAAGTAGAACTGTCTGATAGGGTTTCCTAGGCTGAAATCTTTAAGGGAGCAGACTGCTACATCTTTCTCTTGCAGAGCAGATGGTGAGTTCAAACCCCTGACCTTTCAGTTAGCAGCCCAACCCTTAACTTACCAAATAAATAAAACTAAAACTAAACCCATTGCTATCAATTCCAACTTATAACAACCCTATTTAAGGTTTCCAAGGCTATAAATCTTTACAGAAACAGAAAGCCTCATCTCTTTCTCCTAAGGAGCAGCTAGTAGGTTTGAATTGCCAACCTTGTGGTTAGCAGTCCAGTTTGAAATGAAAATACAATTTTTTTTTCATTGTTAAAGCTACATAAATAACAAGTAGAATGTAGCTAGTAAAAAGTATATATTTACAAACAAAGAAACATGAAATATTACATGGATTTTTAATTTATTTTGCCTATTTAACTTCAGGCTTAAAGATTTTATCCTAAAATGTTCATTTTCTTCATTAACTAGGCAAAACATATTCCTGGTCCTGAGAGATTTCCAAGGGCTTGTTCAAGTTGTCATTCCCCAGGATGAGGTAATAAAAGGCTTTATGCTATTATCTGAAAATTTCCTTGCTGCTATGGCTAGAATAAGCTAAATGTATTTGATTAAGTATGTTTCAGGTTTTAAACTCAAAAGTTTATTTTTAATGAGAATTACCATAAGCAATTTTAAGACAAATAACTATCAGGAAAGGAGTGGGGTAAGGATATTTGCACCCCTGAAAGAATGTAATCAGCATCACTGAATTGTACATTTAGAAACTGTTGAATCTGTGTTTGTTTTGCTTTATATTCTCAATAAATGAATTTTTTTTTTTAAACCAAATGTCAGACTGGGGGGAAAATGCAACTCTTATCTCAGGCAATAGGCTTAATTTTTCAGATACCAATAGAAAAAGGTCTAATGACCCAGTAGAAATATTAATTTAGGATGTTGTTGTTGTTGTAAGAACATAAAATTTATTGGAAAGAAAATACAAATGACTTGTTGACATATGAAAATTTGTCCAGCCTAACTAGTAAGTAGAGAAATGTGAGTAAAATTACGAAGTTACTATATTTAACATATTGGATTCGCAACATGCTGCGTTTGGGAACACAGATGTTTGTGCGTTCCTAGGGATTATAAATCCTAGGGCTCTGTGGAGGGCAATTTGGCAATATCAAAATAAAAAAATGCATATATCCTTTGGCCCATTCATTCCCCTACTGGTAAATCATCTTACAATTACTTTATACCTAAATTTACACAGATGCAAAATGACATATATAGGGTTAGTAATTGCAGGATTATTTGTAATAGGAAAAAGAAACAACCTACATGCCCTCCAATAAGAGATTCTATATCCTTAAAACAGGACACTGCTCAGCCATAGAAAAAGATGCTCTTTATATGTAAAAAATCCAAGGTGTAGTATTAAATGAAAAAAGCAGGTTACAGAGAAACATCTAGAGTATAAGCATCTGTGTGAAATAGGGAGGGATAGAAAAAGGAATATATGTATTATGTGTGTGTTTTTACTTATGTATGTTATAAAATATCCTTGGATGGATACATAAGTCTTGTAACAGTGGGTACCTCTGGGGAGGTGAACTGAGGAGCTAGAAATAAACTGTTCACTGTATATATATTTTTTACTTCTTTGAATTGTTAGCCATGTGAAAGTGTTTTTTGCTAAAAAAAAAAAAATGCAGTTAAAATTAGATAAGGGACTCTGGTCAATGGAGCAACAGAATTACAAGAGGAGTCAAGAGGAGGAGGAGGAGGAAATGGAATGTGTGACTACTTACCTCTATGAACAACTACCTCCTTTGCCATGAGACCAGCACTGGATGGTACCCAGCTACCATTACTGAACATTTTGATCAAAGATTCTATAGCAGAATCCTGATCAAAAGGGGAAAATATAGAACAGAACTTCAAATTCTCATGCAATCCAGACTTTTTAGAGCCATGGTAACTAGATGGACCTGTTAAACAATTGGCCTGAGAGAATCTTTAAATATGAAGTCAAAAATGTCTCTTGAAGTCTTCCTAAAACTAAACAATAGCTTAGCTTAGCTTAGCTAGTGGGGGGAAAAAAATTTAAAACTACCTTGAACATTATGCTCTTTTAAGAACTATGTATGTGGAATCAAATTAGCAAAAGAAACTCAAAAGATTAGATAGGAACTTTCCAGGACAGTGAGTTTCTGTTAATGGGGCAGGAACAACTTTAAAAAAGAGGGTAAAAATGTTTACATAACTTTAAGAAAGTAATTAAAGCCATTGAAATGTACATATAGAAACTTGAATTGGTGTAATTTTTTTTGTTGTGTAAACAGCAACAATAACAAAAAAGAATTATCTAGCAGAGATCAAATTGACAATGGCAACGTAAAAGGTTGGATTAGAAATTTAGGAGGCAGTGAGTTTAAGATAATGGTGGTTGGATAATTTGAAAATGGATAGCAAGATTGGTATCACAACTTGAATCAATGTCACTAAATTGTACCTGTAGGAATAGTTGAAATGGTATGTCTTTGGTTATGTATTGCTGTGCGCTATCAAGTCGGTTCCAACTCATAGCAACCTTGTATAGTGTTTCCCAGGAATGGCTAGTGGGTTTAAACCACTGACCTTGTGGTTCGCACTCCAGTACTTATCCTATAGCACCACATTAGGGTTCCTGACTGATTTATTTTAGAAATTAAAAAAGAAAAAACTCCCATCTTGCTTGTTGGATAACTGTTTTCTATGGTGGTAGTTTCTATAAATGCTTATATGCCTACAAAAGATAGGATTTAGTCAGCTCTCCAATAATTGAAATAAATTAAGAACAATGAACTGTCTTTCAGGGATTAGGATCCAGATATGAAAATAGCTAACCAAGGAGAACTCCTTTTATTCTGGACTCCGCTATTGCTCTTGGTTTTAATTGCCCTAAAAACTAATCCTAGAGACAGTTGTCTTTCAGGTGTATTGGACTTGGGTGTATAAAGTCGTTCTTCCCCTTCTTTTTCTTTAAGGAACAATTTAAAAACTCTTGAATTTTTTGTGTGTCATGAGGTCAAGACAGGGATTCAATTTGCAAATCTGTATAAAGTCATCAGAGGCAGCCCCACTTTTTATGGCAGTTAATCCATGAATGTTAAAATGTGTCTAAGCCATAGATTGCGGTTACTACTGATGCCTGTAAATTCATTTCATTGTCAGAACTAATCTCCTCCTGTTATTTTGTAGTCAGCTGCTTCTGTGAAGAAGATTTTATGTGAAGCCCCTGTGGAATCTGTGGTACAAGTGTCTGGGACAGTCGTTTCCCGACCTCCAGGACAAGAGAATCCAGTTAGTAATTTAGAAATTGTAAATCTCATCCATGTGCATTTTCAGTGCCTGTTCACATTCAGACAACATAGACTGAACCCCTATTGGAAACCAGGCACTAAAGTTCTATTAAGCTCTATTAAGTTCTCTAGATGAAAGAAGCTACAGGTTTCAAAACCTTCTCTTACAAACAGACACCTATCTAAATATGCACGGGCACATAAGCCACAAATGTAAGAATATCAAAATTGTGGACAATTCATGCTTTAGAAGTTAATGCACTATAAGTAAGCACCCTTATATTTTACATCTGCACATAAATACTTGTGGGATACCAATTGCACTGGTTAATTGTGCTGATGAGTGTTTTCTGTGTGTTTTGTTGTTGTTTTTTTAAGTATCTTTCTTCCCCTATCTCTCTCTCTCATAGAAAATGGCAACAGGTGAAATTGAAATCAAAGTTAAAACAGCTGAGCTTCTGAATTCCTGCAAGAAGCTGCCCTTTGAAATTAAGGATTTTGTGAAGGTGCCATCCTATTATTAATATAGTATTTAGCTAATGTTAATACTACCACTAAAGTGTTTTCAGGATATTTTAAAGGAAAATTTTAACTTCTACAAAATTAAGCATTTTATTAGTACTTGCCGTTCATAAACATTCAGATTATTTTCAGACAGATTGAAATGTTTTTCTGTCCTTAAAAATTGGAGTGTTAAAATTGTTCAAGTTTTTTTGTTGCTGTTGTTTCACATTTTGAAAGGAAATTTGTATCTAGTTTGGGAATAGCCAAATACATACTGATTGAGTTTAAATCTCCAACAATAATAAAATGTGCATTTAGAGCAACCCTTGTCTTCCCAAACTTGTAAATATGACTGCTATAATTTAGGATGTTCTTTGCCACATTTTATCAGGTAGATGAAACTAGACAGCACTGGGTAAGTACACCCAGATGACTTTTCAGCCTTGCCACAGTGGTAGACTTGTATGTGCCTAATTTGTAAACTCATCTATAAAGGGATTTTTATATTATTTGCTTAGTCACTTGCCTTACATTTAAGTGCCCTATATTTCATCCTTAATTAGAAAGAGTAAGATCATTTCAGGACTGACCTTGTGAAAAGGAAAAGGAAATGTACGTTTCCCTCCAGATTAACTCTCAGAAAGAGAAGATCCAGTTAGAGAAAAAACCGATTCTAGGAGAAAGAGGTGTTTTTAAAAGTTCTTAAAACATAGAGTTCTGGGGCAAGATGGTAGAGTAGGCAGATGTACTGAGCACACTGACTGCAACACAGACATGGGAGACCCGGTGAAACACACACAGACGGTGATCCTGGAACCTCAGCACCGAGGATAGGACAGAGAGCTGGACTGATTGCCAACTGGAAGAGGAATTAGAAGAGGAACAGCAAAAGAAAGGAAAACCTGGGGGAACTATAAGCTGGCCTGGAGCCATGCAGCCTTCTTGAGCTTTGCAAACAGTTGTTAATACAGTGACCTGCAGATACAGGATGCAACTGGATTTTGGCAGCAAGGGGGTTTTGTTCTCCCTTGTTGCTATGTCCTCCCAGTAACAGGAACATGGCTAGTCCCTGCACTTGCCTACCCAGCAGTCAGTGTCACCCCCTCCTGCAAAGCCCCTCTTCTACTAGCAGTCAAGCACTAGACATACCACCCCTGCTTTTGGAGGTGTTTGAACCTGCCCTGAAGTACACTACACACAAACAGCGAACAGAGAACTGCAATCACACTTCTGGTCTCTATCGTATTTATTCACCAGGAGACAGGTGATGAGTACCTGAGAACACATCACCATGCAATCGTCAATTAAATATCAATATGACACCACATTGTCTCGGAGAAAACAGTATCTGCTTACATGAAGAAACAAAACAGTGCCTCAACAAGCAACCAGAATACAGAATCAGAAAATTTAATAACAGAAATGGTATCAGAACTACTTGATAAGGAATTTAAAAGATTGATATTTAGGTCCTTCAGTGTCTTGAGAGAGCGATCAAGAAAACTATGGATGAAATCAAGGAAAATACAAACAAAACTTTACATGAATTCAGGAAACAAATGGACAAAAAAAATATGAAGAATTGGAAACCTTATAAAAATAACAAACAGAGAGCTTGAATAAACCCTCAGAAATGGATAATACGTTGAAAGAGCAAAAAAGTAGAGCTGAATCAATGGAAAGCCAAATTGTTGAGGCTGAAGACAAATCTCTCAATATTCATCTGCTAGAGGAATAATCAGAAGAATTTAAAAATCCAAAGAAGGCTTAAGATTTATATGGGACACTATCAAGAGAAATAATTTACATGTGGTTGGAATTCCAGAACAACAAGAAGAAAAAAATTGTTCAAGAGTCAGTGGAAGAACTCCCAGCCAAAAAAAGTCCAGGTCCAGATGGCTTCACTGGTAAGTTTTACTAAACATTCAAGAAAGAGCTGTCACCAATACTACTCAAATTATTCCAGAATATAGAAGAGGATGGAAAACTTCCTAATACATTCTGTGAAGCAAGCATAACCGTCATACCAAAACCATGGAAGGACGTCACTAAGAAAGAAAATTATAGACCAATATCCCTCATGAACATAGATGTAAAAATTCTCAACAAAATCCTAGCCAACATAATTCAACAATACATCATGACCAATCAGAGATGCAAGGATGGTTCAACATTAGAAAAACAATCAATATAATCCACCATATAAATAAGAAAAAGGAAAAGAACCACATGATCATATCAATTGATGCAGACAAGGCATTTGACAAAATCCAACATCCATTCCTGATAAAAACACTCAACAAAGTAGGAATTGAAGGGAAATTCCTCAACATAATTAACAGCATATATACAAAAACAACAGCCATCATCACTCAATGGAGAGAAACTGAGAGCCTTCCCTTTGCAAACAGGAACCAGACAAGGATCCCTTTTGTGACCACTCCTTCTCAATATTGTTTTGGAAGTCTTAGCCAGAGCTGTATGGCAAGATAGGGAAATTAAAGGCATCCAAATTGGCAAAGAGGAAATAATACTCTCTATTTGCATATGATATGATCCTATACATAGAAAACCCCAAAAACTCAGCAAAAAAACTACTGGAACTCATTGGAAGATTTAGCAAAGAGTCATTGGAAGAAAACTTTCTTGTCATCACAAAAGATGAGAAGATAACTTTTCAAGAAGTTGAATGTGCTGCAAACAGGATAGACCCCAGAAGAAAATCACCAAGCCATATTATAATCAAACTCTTCAAAACAAAAGACAAGGGGAAAGTCCTGAGAGCAGCTTGGGAAAAACAAAAAGTTACTTACAAAGGAGAAGTAAATATTAATCTCTGATTTCTCGGTAGAAATCTTATAGGCAAATATATATGTATACTCTGAAAGAAACAATATTGCCAAATAAGAATCATACCCAGCAAAAGTGTCCATCAAATATGATGGCAAAATTAGGACATTTTCAAATAAACTAAAAGGAGTTCTTTGGAAAGAGAACCAAAAACAGCAGACAACAACCTCAGAGTAGAATATGTTATAATATCACCCAGAAGTTAACCCAGATATAGAAGTATTAAAAATAAAACAAACCCATAAGACTGAAAATACAGAACCAGATACCAGTTGCAACAACAACAAAAAGCATATATAGTATAAAGGGATAATGTAGTTACAAAACTTCCAAATGAAGAGGAAAACAAGTAGGTTTCAAGAAAATAAATAAATAAATAAAAATAAACCTAGCTGTAACCCTAATACTAGACCAAGCCTTGCTATCCCAACATTAACCCTGTTGTTGTTAAGTGCCATGGAGTCAATTCTGACTTTAGAGACTCTATATAGATAGGGTTTCCTAGGAGCAGCAGGTAGGTTTGAACTACGAACTTTGTGATTAGCAATCAAATGCTTATTCTACAGCACCACACCAGGATCCCATTTACCCTAGTCCTGACCATAGCCCTAACACTAAATGAAATCCTCAACTTATTCTAGACCTAACAGTAGCCCGAATTCGTAACTGCCTTCTCATACTTTCCATACACCCTTCCAAAAAAAGAAAGAAAAACAAGTTCTCAACACAAACTGGGCTAGCTGGACTCTAAGGCCTAGAAAACAAGCAAACCTTCTCACCATGTTTCTCATAGTTGTTCTTACTGGGCCGCAGAGGAGAATATACCTGCTGTAAACATTAACTATAGGCCTAAATAGATGGAAAATGGTTAATAAGGTAGGCAAATGTCAATCAGTTCAGGGTGATGTTAATAATACTGAAATTGTTTTTTAAAAAACACAAAATTGACAAATTTCGAAGTTGTAGGATGGTGATGTTTACACAAATGGAAACAGCAAGCTGGTGGGCTGCTTGACAGTGGTGTAAGCTAGTGACAGAGCTATTGTTGAAAATTCAAACTCTGTCTAACAATATCTTTAAGCTACCCAATAAAAGTATTTAAACATAAAATTTTTTAAATTTCTTTTAGAAAACAGAGGCTCTTCGATTGCAGTATCGCTACTTAGACTTGCGTAGTTTCCAAATGCAGTATAACCTGAGGCTGAGGTCCCAGATGGTCATGAAAATGCGAGAATACCTCTGTAATCTGCATGGTAAGGGGAATGTCTGAATGTTCTTTTGTGATTTATAGCATCTCTTCTGTTTTATGCAGCACTTTTTTTTTTAATGTTTTATTGTGAATTATATGATAGTTTACATGGGAGAACATTAGTTTTACATTCATTCTATCGTATATTGTTTCATTGCCATGATTACAATCCCCTCCATGCATCATCAACCAACCAAAGGGTATACCCTGCCAGCCTGCCCCCTATACTACCCCTTCCCCCTGCCCCCAGTCTTCAGCACATAGTCACTCTCCCTCTCTGGATCTAAAGTCCCCAGCTGCCCCATCGCTCCACCTCATCATCTCTGCCTCCATTTCAGGCATCACTGCTTCTCTAGGTAGGGTCGCGCTTCTGGCTCTTCTCTGTTGATGGTCCTAGGGACCTCCGATCCTAGACTGGAAAGTTAATCACTCCCTTCTTTGCTATAAAACATCTATCTTTACATTTCGAACCCTCACAATCAGTCCTGATAACAATTATTCACTGTTGTATCACAAGAGACCCATCTGCATTTCATTTCATCAGCTCCGCCTAGACAGATTGGATAGTACTCACTGGAGATTATGCTTTCCTCCAGGCCCCCTGGCTCTAGGTTTCCTTCTTGCCTTTGTAGCCCCCCCCCCCATCCCATTT